CGTTTGCAAACTCTTGTAGTTTGTCACTAAGCACCTTTTTGAAGGAGGCCAGTGTACTTGCTTGACGCATTTCCATTGGTAGTTTATTCCATATCCGTGCATACCTAATCAAGTAAAATTCCATTATGGGTAAATTTTTATTTTGATAGAGTCTCACAGTGTTATACAGTAATATTTACTGATGACGTTTCGAGCACAAACTATTGCTCATAATCATATCAAGTTGATATGATTATGAGCAATAGTTTGTGCTCGAAACGTCATCAGTAAATATTACTGTATAACACTGTGAGACTCTATCAAAATAAAAATTTACCCATAATGGAATTACACTCTACCACAGTGCCCAAGTTTTATTCTTATATCAATAATCAAGTAAAACTTTTGCCTGGTGGCTGTTTTACATTGTTCGATAGCTACTGTACCCTTAGTGCGTCTTAGTTTGTAGCCATTGTCATATGAAAGTCGAGTGCCATTAGTAGAGGTAAAAACTAAGTGGTTTAGAAGCTTATAGTTAAGTGTCAAGTTTAGTCTCAGGCGTCTTAGCCATAGTGTTTCTAGTCCTAGGGTATCACATCTAGTGGAGTAGTTCGCACCATTTTCGGTTCCGAGTAACTTTAATGTGAAGTACCTCTGCACTCCCTCGACTTTCAATTTGTCCTCTATGCGTATACTACTATACATGAATGAACAGTAATCAAATAAAGGACGCACACAAACCTTGTACAACAGAATTCTAGACTCATTTCTGTAGCGGTTCCTGAGTAGAAAGCCGATAAGTCTGCGTGACTTTGACACTTGTTTGGGAATATGTTCAGAAAATGATAAGTTATGTGAATATTTCAGCCCTAGGTCCAGTACAGATTCCAGTCGTAGAAGTGCATGGCCTTGAATTGTCAGGTCAAGTTCTAAATTGTTGCAACCTATGCAGAGCCAGCCACATTTTTCGACATTAAATTGGAGTTGCCAGGTGTCACACCATCTATCCATTTTTTCTGATTCTTGCTGTATGGCGTTTACTGTTATTCCAAGATCTGTGTTCTTGCATTTATACGTCACTTTTAAGTCATCTGCATATAGTATTGGTTTACCTACACTAAAGCATTCCCAGATACTGTTTATATATATTATGAATAAGAGTGGGCCTAATACACTTCCCTCGATCACACCACTACTTACTGGTTTAGGCCTTGAGATTATCGAGCCAACTTTCGTTGTCTGACTTCGGCCACAGAGAAATGATTTTATCCAGCTCAACAGAGGATCACATATCCCTAGTGAGCATAACCTGCTGACTAGCAGATTATGGGGAACTCTGTCGAAGGCTTCTGTTATATCGAAATATAGCACAATTACTAGTTCTCTGTTGTCCCTACTTCGTGTAACTTCATTGAAAAAGTCTGTGACAGGTCACACATGATCTTTTTTTAAGAAATCCGTGTTGTGATGGATTGATAAGTTCATGTTCTAGTAAGTTGTCTGAGACTTGGTCTTTAACCACTTTCTCCATTTTTCGGGATATTACAGGTGTTATATTGATAGGTCTATAGTTGCATGCACTGGTTTTGACCCCTGCTTTGTGCCTAGGTAATATGTATGTGGTTTTCCACACTTCAGGATAAGTTCCAGTTTCCAACGAGAGAGTAAATATTCTAAGTAACAAGACTGCCATTTCCGTGCTACCATTTTTGTACATGACAGATGGTATGTCGTCTGTTCCAGTACTACCATTAGACTTCAATGTCTTAATCGCTGAGTCAATATTTTGTATATTAAAGTCTATTTCGCCTAATTTGTGGTTACTTTTTCAGGTCATTTGGAAATTTTGGGTCGGGTGCACTCTGGCGTCATTGCAAAACCACTCATTGAGGAGTTCACTTATAACCTGGGGATCATTGTATATTATACCCTTATGTTCCAAGCTGCTTACATTATTGTCTTTACTGCTTTTTAGACGTTTCTGCAATATCCTACAAAGTTCCTGAGTTTTGGAGTTACCCACAAGCGCTTTATTTTCTTCAAGCTGTGTCATCATTTTGCGTTTCTCTTTAAGCCGTTTAAGAGTTTCATGTATTTCAAAATAGATTTATCGTTATTTTCGATGACTTCCTCTTCATTTGGTTCTACAGTTATATATCCATTATGATAACAGGATTATTGTTATTGACAACATTAGTGATTTTTAAAATTGTAGCATCGAATCATTTAGATCAGACTTCCAAAAGTTATTCGCAATTAGAGTGTCAGTAGATTATAGTCGCAAATATATGTGCGCGGTAATATGTAACGTTCTAATACCAAATTGAACACCAGTATAAACTTCAGATGGTGAATGATATATCCGTAGAACCTGGTGAGGAAGTTACCAAAAAGAATGTTATTTTTTAAGTAATAGTCTTTTGAAATTTCGAATGGGCATCTTTAATTAATTAAAATATTCCAAATAGATCTACATTAAGGCTAAAATTTTCGAATACATTCCCAGACTTATCGTTCTGTTGGACAAACTCGAATAATTGTGGTAAAAGCCTGTAGTTTTGGGATTATCCGACGTCGAAATATCAAAAGCACAGCCAGTGAATATAAAATGGCTTGGAGTTAACTAATATGTGTACCCAAACAAAACATTTACGGCTGTCCAAAATGAACCACAATCCACAAAAATGCAAAATGGTATATGAAGTACAAATTTAGTATTTGACGTAACGAGTATATTAGTAACAGAGGGGTTGTAGTCTATACGTATTTGAGAAGGCCATGAGAGGCGATTATGGCAAAGCAGTTAAAACCGAAGGTCATTTTGCAGGTAACACTTAGGAGAGAAGCTGGATATCAGCTGTCTTCTTGAACTAGTGGGCTCATAGGACCTGCATTAAAAAGGTTTATATTTACGCGCCGGCTTTCACGGAGCATTTGTCTCTTTTATGAAGAAGGTATTCGAATGTGCGTCGGAGGCACAGTGGTTAGGACTCTCGCCAACCATGCACATGGTCCGGGGTTCGATCCCCTGCCGGTGCACACCCTATTTCTATGGTCGGCCTGTAAATTTGGGCTACCGATATCCATGCTGAAAACTCCATACTTGTACTGAAAATACGGTGTGGTATCAAGCTGTAATCAAAAAGTAAAATAAAAATAGGAGTCCTAGCAAAACAGTGCTGAGTAGCAGCCACCACCCTCTCATGTTTTAGTATATGAGGTCCCCAGGGAAAGACTTCCTTTTGTCTTTTCCACACGGCTACCCACGTCATGCGCAATCATTTCACATGGAGTACTAACCCACTGAAATTAATTGTGTGAACAGACACTTTCATAAAGTGATCTTCTAGGATACCTACCGGTTATGTTGCTTGAACGACTTCAAACCGACTTCAGCTAGAAATAACTCTCATGTTTACTGTGTGGTCATCTATCCTGCCAGGCTTGAGATCTGGCTACACTACCTGCTGACTCTCCAATATTGCCCACCTAACCAGATGGCAAGTCTGCTCTTAACTCCGCCCCAATTACAAATGGAAGAATGAAGCACTTACGCCTGCTGAGAGGTGCATTTACTAAGGATGATATGAAGAAAGTGTAGAGATACGTAATCACACCACAATGCTGCCACCGCACTCTTGTCCCTTGGAAAAACTAAAATGTCCACCGTGTGTTTCAGTCCGCAAAGATAAACAGATTGATCGTTGAAGGTGACCCCCCACAGATAATTAGTATTTAACAAACGACTACATGCCAGCTAATATGGAGAAAAATCAATTCATAGTGTGGGCTTACCTTGAGATATATCTCTTTTGTAGAAAAGGTTCACAGATTTGCAGCTAAGTACATTTTAAGATAAGGAAAGCATCCATACCCATTTCTCTGTCTTAAGTCTGTCAGCAGTAAAGTGGAGGGTTTAGTTGTGGCGTGCCACCTAGTATTAGCACCAAAATTCATCAGGGGAGCCGTCTAAAAATAAGGTTCTGAGTCTGATACAGGAGTACATTCTTGAAACCTGAAGTGGTTGAACTGAAGATTCCGGACAACTTTCTAATTAACTATCTGAAAGCTTTGAGATTTGCTTTCCAAGGACGAGATCATAGATGGTTGGAGGCAATCGGCAGGAAGCCTTGGACCTAGGTTTCGTGCTAGTTGGCACTCATCAGCAAGGCGTATCTGCAACCTTGAAGGAACTGATGTCCCTTCTGAGATTCGGACCCACATCACCCTGTGCTGCAGTCAGAGACGTTACCACTGAGCTATTCAAGCTCGCGACTGACCTCCTGTAGGACTGTATTGAATATTTTTGATTGAACACTAGTCAGTAACTAGTGTAATGTGTCTAGTCCTATCTTCGATGCAGACTGAATTCTATCAGTCATGTTTGCAATGTGGCCACCATGCCACTAGGTGGCTCGCCATTGCTGTGAGCTGTGAATTGTTGGTACTAGATGGTTGGAGGCAATCGGCAGGAAGCCTTGGCGTATATGCAACCTTGAAGGAACTGATGTCCTTTCTGATGAGTGCCAACTAGCACGAAACCTAGGGCCAAGGCTTCCTGCCGATTGCCTCTAACTATCTAGTACCAACAGCTCACAGTGCACGGTAATGGTGAGCCATCTAGCATTGTGGCCACATTGCAAACATGACTGATAGAATTCAGTCTGCATCGAAGATAGGACTAGACACATTACACTAGTTACTGACTAGTGTTCAATCAAAAAAAGAACGAGATCATATCCACGTAGCTAGATGCCTTCAGAAGGGAGCTTTAAACTTGTTTTGATTAGAGTAGCACCAATACAGAACGTTCTGGATGCTTGCGGTCTTCAAGACCTTTTGCGGTCCCATCCACGACTACTAATTCTCTTAGAGCAGAAAATCAAGCAGGGAAATCAAACTGCATTTTCCAATCGTAATTCCAGCTCCTTAAATTCAGGTCTGAAAAAGTTTTAGCTCTCCATTACATCGATATAAGTATTCAAATTGATAGATTGGACATTGATTCACTTAATCGTTCTACTAAGCATTAGATATTGATCGTCTGGGTTTGGCGGGTTTGTGTGTGACTTAGGACTAACAATGGATTTGAGTCTGGATGACATTATCCAGCAAAAGCGTATAAGAGTTGGAAGAGGACGAGGTAGAGGCCGGGGTGGAGAGTCTCTGCGAGGTGTCCGTCGTGGTGGAGTTGCTCGACGCAATGCTAACGGAATGGTATGCATATGAACTACCTTTATTTCTCCAGTCTCGTGTCTTACCTGATAAATGGCAGCACGATATGTTCCAAGATGGCCGGAGTCCAAAGGCTGCAAGTAATACTACTGGAACCGCTACCAGACTTCACATTTCAAACCTGGATTTCGGTGTGAATAATGATGATATTAATGTAAGGTCCTTTACGATGAATGAACTTTTAGGAACTCTTCCGAGAATTCGGTGCAATTCGAAAGGCGACGGTTCATTATGACAGGAGTGGTCGTTCTTTGGGGACCGCAGAAGTCGTTTTTGTCAATCCACTGAGTGCAACTAAAGCCAGAAACCATTACAATGGCGTACCGCTTGATGGACGTCCCATGGTCATCCAGTTGGTTGGCGCAGGTTAGTCAACAGTCACTCAGCCACGTCCATCAGGAAATCACTTGGGTTTCAACTGTTGGTTTCGTAACTTTGCATGGTTGTTCCACGTTGTTTGAGAAGATAGTGTTATCGTATTGACGTGCTGCCAGTAGACATGTTTTAAATAATTTCCCTAACTTGGATGTATGGACGTACTTTTTGTCGTCGACAACGGTGGAGCCGAGAATTCACATATCTATGGATTTTATCTTGCTTAATTTCCAAATGGTCATACATTTCTCTGGACGTGACGATTTCCATTGTTTCCAGATATGGTACGACCGTTTCAATGGGCAGGGAGGTTTTAAATTTTGATTTACTCTATTTTGAGTGTTCTTGCTCATCGATATGTGAAATTTGGTGTCTACCGTATTTTGTTAAAAACAAAGCCAAGTAAATTGTTTAGGGACTTCATTTTCGGTGGTTTCATCTGAACGAGCTTATAGTTCATGAGTAGTAAATTCAACCTTAATCTATGGGTAATTTATTTGCGGCATTACTGCTCCCTCAGGCGCATATATTTTCTCTTTAAGCAACTGAAACTACCACAACTACACGTCCACGTGTTACTCGTCCTCGTGGTTTTCCAATACGCCGTGGCTTTGGACGTGGTCGAGGTCGTGCTCGCGGTCGCGGAAGGACACAGAAACCGACTGTCACGAAAGAAGAGTTAGATGCCCAGTTAATCGCGTATAATGCACAGGTAATGTCTATTTATGCTGAATTATAACTCGATTAACATGTCTTTTAATAAAAATAAATCATTTTCTAGGGGCTTTATTCGTGAACGTACTACTTAGCTAATGTAACTTTTAAGTTAGCTTATCTGTCCTCGGATTTGCAGACCTTATCCTTGTGTTTTTGGTTCAAGGTAGAAGTAGAAATAGGTTACATCTATAGGTGATTGACTTGGTGTTGAAGGTTGTAAACCTCCAGAGACTTCGTCTAGTTATTTCTTCATTCTTCACTTTTCAGGTCCATTAGGGTGTTTTATGACTAATAATTCTTTCGTGTTAGTGGTGTCTATGGTGGGATTGCCATAGTTACTCCTTTTCTTGTTCTCTGGGAAAGCATTTAAACTCACGTCTGTTTTATTTATGATAGTTTATGCACACTGCAGTATTTGTAGCTGTTTCATGACATGTTCTGGGGATATCACTACCATCTTAGCTGAGATGAACGTCATCCTTTAAAATAGCTATTTCACTCATTACTGCATAGTTATTTATCGTCTTGATCACATCTCACTCTCATGCCCTCATTTAGTATCTTGCTAACATTTGTCAAGGTTGTTATATCCATGTTGAAGGCTCACTGGCCAATTTTTTCAAAGACCATTTCCTATTTCAACAAGTTAGGAATATGTCATTATGATGTGTCGCTAAAGCCCTGTGTTATACTCGGAATGCAACGAATGTGTAATAATAATGTCTTCGTGATAAGTCAACCTCCTCAGTCTATCTTCATGAATCTGCTGAATCGAGGATGTCTGACCGGTCCATCTACAACAAAGTCGTAGGCCTTCTATTTCAAGCATATCCATGATTCTGAAATGATTATTCATCTTAGGCATTTCGAGCTTTCATGGTGTTAGAAAATCCTGTATGTAGTTGGAAGACTTTCAAATATCATTTAAGGTGATAACCTGGGTATCACCGTGATTTCTCACTTAAGTTTATGAAGTCGGATAACACGGTCATCAGGGCAGATTACAAACCCAAATATAGTTGGAGTAACATGAGTTACTTAAATACGATCTTTCTGGTAGGTTGGAACGTTGGAGTACTGTTTTGGACATAAGTATGAACGTAGTTTTTTGAAGTGCTTCGTGACCAGCAGATTATCATGGTAGTTTACTGGCTTGTAGTGCCTTATAAGATATACAAATTTTAAGGTCCTTAATTAAGTATACGTTGCTTTGGGACGTAAGGCTTAGGTTATGGATAAAATTTTACATACAGTTGACCGGCTAAGTTTTCAACGTTCATGCTCATCGATACTATAACTGAGACATATAGTTAAGCAATAAAGGAATTCTTATTGACCTCAAACATTAGAATTTCTCTTGATCCTCCTAAAGCTTGTATAATTTCTTTACAACTGAACTGCGTTCATATCCATGTAGGACCATTGATAATTGGTGTCATGTCTTGAGTAAGGATAAACGCCTTGAAAATATTGTTTCACTTTTAGTCGTTTGCGGGGCTAGTAAAGATTAAACAAGATTAACTTACGAGTCATTCATTTGACGTGAAAATTCATTAAATTATGCATAGGTTCCATAGTAAAGATATGTAGACTTTCAATAGTCAGTCCTATACTCACCCACATGCACTTAGGTTTACCACTTTGGTTGACAGAATCGTAGGAACAAGTGGGTAGCATGATTTAACAACCAGAAAAGTGGGTTTGAATGTTTATGAAGAGCATTTTTTCAAACATCAATTATACCATTGCACTGTCTCAAATTCAGCAAACGGAAAAGTTTTAAAGTAGCTGGTAACATGCTAAAACGACAGAATTGAAAGTTGTAGAAGTTCAGTTGCGCACACTTTTCATTTAATTATGTCTTTATTGATAACTACTCTAATTTTAAGGTTTTCTCTTCGTGTTATTGCGAAGTGTAACAAGTGCATTCGTCTCAGTAGGATACGAGATTTAAGGTTGCGCAGTCAGCCGTTTCTGCGTTAGTTTCTAATGAAATTTGATGGACTAACTTGTATACTTTATTTTTTTCTCATACCTAGTTATCTTAATGTAAGATATGGTGCGTTGGCTTAAACACTCGACTTTCATTCATTGGGTCCTTGATTTGAGTCCTGCTTGACCCTGTCTTCAGTGTGAGCAACTGAGAAATATCATTAGCCCCCTCAAATACAGAAAGAGTATGGCTTACAGCACAGTGCTGGGTAATTGAGATCTAACTAAGAGCATACAAGCCTCCCACGGAAGTCTTCTTTTCATGACGTTATAGACAAAATGGTCCGAGTAAATAAATCAGTTTGTGACAAAAAAACTAGAAACATGGCTGTAATTGTGAACCGGTTGAATGAAAATTTCAACGAATACTTTTAGTGGACAGAAGCAGAATACTGGGGTGTTAGCGCCCCAATATACCAAGGTAAGTATTGTGTAATAGGCTACAAGATTCACTAAATTTGCAAGTGTCTCCGTGCCGGATATCGTCTCGAATCCCTCAGTAGTTTGTCTGGCAGAACGTGACTGAGTCCTAGCAGTATTGTGACAAAATGACTTGCTTTCACCAAACTACTGTACCATTTAAAGCCTTCATAGAGCACATTCATCACAACCCCTTATTCCTCAATCTGATTACACAGGAATCTGATTTATTTTTATCTTCCAATTTATTTTATGAAATAGATTCAAATTAAAGTGTGCTGTGATAAGCCTCCTGCATTAGAAAGATGTTAATTCAGTGTGTACCTCAACATTTGTCGAAGTGGATGATTTCGTCACCAACCACAGCTGTTAGCTGCTGATATTTTCTTACATGTTTAAAATTAAGACACCCTTTCTCATTTTGTGTTACGGGTTATTTAGTACGGGTTATTAGGCAGTGATTATCTGACCGACTTTGCATTTCAAAATAGCTCACTTGTGAGCTATCGTTTCTAATTTAATATGATAGAGTATACATAATGTGTTTATAGAAGGCAATTGTAGGCTTCAATTTCAGTAAATTTTGTTGACTTTGCTCTTGTCCTAATTTTTATCTCCATACTTGTTTGTATTTTTCCATTTTCAGCGTGGTTGATGTTATCCGAAGAACTTCAGTCAAAAAATGTGTACTGTCAGAATCCGCCAAGTCCCTCGAACACCGTGTTTGTGTATGTTTCTGCATCCCTATGAATAATAAAACAGTCTATCATAATAAAACTTCAATTTCTAGTGTTGTATATTATCGCTACCGGTAGGACAACAAATAGAGAGAGAGGAACAATAATTTTTTTAAGTACAACAAATGTTCTGAGAATTATAGTTTTGAAAGTGAGTTTAGCTGAATATTCGTGTTGAGATATTCCATCTGAAAGGAGATGACCCCTGATGTGTATTATATAATTTTCGTCGGTTGTATTGTTCTGCCTTTAGAAGTGATTATGACAACAGATGTTCCAAGTGGCTGTCGTCTAGGAGTACTATGATTACTCATTTGCACTTGGCAGGGAGATTCTTCAGAACTGCTTTCATGTGGCAGAGTTATATTCGACGAATGATTGTATGCATTTGTGAACTCTTGTCGACCTAAAATATGCAAAGATTGAAAAAGACATTTTAGTACGGTTAGAAAGTTTTGTGCTAAACTTGGTCATTATGTTATTGTCAGGGAATTATGAATTTAAAATATAGCTGTAAATATTGAGTTCGTTTTTTAAATTATTGGATACGATTCCATATTAGTTTGTTTATTAGATGTATCACACAGTGAAACATTATTATTTACTGGATGACGTTTCGAACACAATATATTGTTCATAATCATATCAATTATAATCACATGACTTCGAAACTTGAGTTTTGTAGTTTTCTTTGTACTCTCTTATTTGTCGTAGGGGTAGTAGAATTTTACAGATATCTGGGACAGGTGTTGAATCATTCCTATTACACGTATTCTCTTCAGTTGATTCGATAAACAAAGCTTCTGTTATCAATCTCTCCCTATACCCTGTGTCATTAGATTTTAAAACTGTCATCTTATCCCACCCATCCTATTGTATGGTTGTGTGTAATTGCGTGTGGTGAGTGCTATAGCTGAACTATTCTCCAGATTTCTCGTCTTATTAGGGTCAACTAATCTAAATTTCGCTAGGTTTTTGTGCACCACTAGTCTGACTGACTGACCCTGTTTTACCACTTTGACCTGTGTATTTGACCTGACAATCATTCCAGCAGGGTATTAGATTAGCAAAATAGTTGTTTCATGTAAGTCAACATGGATATGTCGTTTACGTGACAGTTAGAAGCGAAGGTTTTTGATTTTTAAGTTTTATTTTGTGTTATGCGCCTACCTTTGTTAGGTTTTTAGGAATTAGTAAAAGTCCTATATTACCATGACGATTGAGTTAACTTAGCCAGAACCAAACGTTTAGTTATTTTGATGATGTTACTTGATTGATTGCGTTGGCACGCGAAATTCAAATGTTTCTTTATGAGGCATTAGCAATGTTCTCTTTAGATTTTTAGGAATTACTTCGCTGCGGAGTTGATGTTGAACATGCGTAATATTATGAAGAATGAGGGTGTCGTGTGTATTCCAATAATTTAATGTCGTCATATGTGTCTGTGCCCGGTTGCAAAGTAATATTACTTAGAATAGAAAACTTAAAATTTCTCCGGAACTTGGACTTTGTGTGGGGGCAATTTTCCAAGATTTTTCTGAAACCCCGAATACTTAAAAATTTGCTTCTATGTAGTCACGCGGCATATATCGTGATCTTTAGACTATCCATGGCGATGCAGGTTCTTATACGTACAGTAGGCTTTCGACCATACTTGGTATGTGAAGTCTTTAAGGAGTCTTTGTGGCTTCGGATGAAGTAAGTGTGATGGTGTTCTAACTTAGGACGTTATTATTTGGAAGTTACGCGTTTAAGCTCAATCGCGAGCCCGAATAGTTCACTGGTAACATCTCTGATCGCAGCATTAGGTGCTCCGGGTTTTAATCTCAGAGGGGATGAGTTTCTTCAATATAGCACATGCGCCTTGCTGGTGAATGCCTACAAGCACTAGACCTAGGTCAGACAGGACTTCCTGCCAACTGCCTCCAACCATCTAACAACAATATTAGACCTCCAGAAATCCAAGTGGATCAACATCCAGACTCTGCACACTACAGGTGAGGCTCAGACTAAGACGAGACCTGTCTGATTCTTGATGATTTTCACTGGCTGTCTAACTGATTTCGGTTCCACACGAAATCTGCCTTGGACCTAACTGAATTTCCTACAAACCTAACAATCCTTCTACATCATAGGAATAAGGCGATATGTCAGCTTCAGTGATTGTTGTAATAATTTGTAACATATTTTGAGGATTAGTATCGTACTGTGCAGGTGTGTAACGACTGTATGTTTGTATGGTCTGTCTACTTTACGGAGCACGTAGTTCCTTGCATTGCTCCTCTCTCTCTCTCAATCCTGGGGATTGAACTTCGAGTGGTAAACCTTGTTCCTGTGAGAAGACCATTTGTTTCAGTTTACATGTACTATCAGTATTCTATCTATGTCATGGAAACTTTGAAATGGATTCATTGATGGGAAACGTTTACACTGTTAAGGAATTATTTAAAAGAGACTGGCATAATTTAATTCCATTTGGACCGAAATGTTCGGCCTCTGTTGAAATGTCGGCTCCTTGTGCGGATGCGTCGACGGTGTCTGAGGATTGAACCTAAAGTCAGTTGGTGGATGGTGAGACTAGCAGTGGAATTTAGGATGCGATGCGCGTTTCTTCCTACTTGGGACTCTTCAACAGGAAGCACCTGCATTCCCCAGTGACTGGTAGTGGTGTTCCCACTGGGGCTTGAACCCAGTAACGCCAAAGCGTTTGGGCGACGAGAGCCCAAGAGGTCATCACCAAGTTACCATCCACCAAAATACTATCACATGGTGTTTACCTTACTGTTGGTAATGGTACTTCGAAGGGATTAGATTTTACATGAATATTGTTTTAGGTTTCATGTTGTGAAATGACGTCTCTAGTTTATTTTAGTCTAACAGTGAATAAGAACCGTCTGAAACTACTACTCCCCGTCAAAGCTTCAAATTAGTGAGACAGCGGTAAAATACTTATCAAGATAACTTAAAATAATCCCAGGATGCTTAAGAAAAAATCAAAACAAGATTTTTTCTGAAAGTTTCGTTGTGTAAGCCACCGCTTCTTCTTAGGCGGAATTACTCGAATTGCATTAACCATAAGAAATTAATCAATCCTCTGTTGCGATCTCTCTAGAGTACTATCGCGTTTTTCACATGTGAAGTGACGTGTTTCCCATACGACAAGCAACATCCAGACAAATATAGAGATATGACAGTTTCACATTAGTCATTCCAAGTATGCTATGACTCTTGACATATTTCTGCTGATAAAAATATCTACCCACAAGTGACCTCCAAAGGAGTTCACCTAAATTTATTTGATTTTTTGATGATTAGACGTGACCAGTAGGGTGCGGCAGGTTGGGTGTGAGGACAAATACTCGCCGAAGACATTGGCTAGCGGTTGCGCGATATCGTGAATTGGCAGAAGTTAGAATTCATGGGCCATTGGATCGGGTCCCAGTGGCTTAATGGTCTACGAGCTAGCTCGCCTTGTAACCAGAAGGTCCTGGGTTCTAACCCTGCTAAAGGGTGTGTACTGCTGAATAGTCCCAAACTAGGACGGAGGAAACAGCTGTCCAGTACTCCCAGGTTTTCCAATGGTTCTCTAACCAATGTCAGCTCATGATGAAATCCTGTAATCGATTAGTACTTCTGCTTGAAGAGAAAGCTGTGGCTTACACAGCGAAACTTGCAGAAGTACCCTTGTTTTGATTGTTTTTTCTCTTCTCTTAAATACACTGGGACTATTTTAAGTAGCTCTACAATGAATGATTCAGTCTGGCTTGGCGGTCATATTATTCCAGGAAATTCGTAACATATATGATTTGGACTATTTACAATTTAACTAAAAATCGGATTATATATTATCAAAATATCGATCGAATCGGTAATAAGTGTGTATTTAATTTACGATGCTGCATACACTTTAGAGCAGATCACTTTCGGGTATACAGACTAAGACAAGAACAGTAGGCAATTTGTCAGACCGTGAACTCGGTGTACACGAAGTTGCATTACTTGAGAAGGGAAGCGATAGAAATAACTCCCATCACTGAATCTGTATTAAACCTTATTACCTGATGATGAAGCTAATGAAATGTGTCAGGAGTTTGGATGTATCCTGTCGAATCAAAAGTAGTTAACCAAAAATTTGTCGAAGGACAAATGTCATGCATTACAAACTTTAAGATTGGACAAAGTTATTGTTATGACTAAAGCTGACAAGGGCAATGTCATCGTGATTCTCGGTTGTGAAGATTATGACAAAAAAGCCTTGGAACATGTCGAATCAACTCCACACGTGCTAGTACAGGTCTTAGATATAATAGAGAAGATTTGTAGCTCAGGTGGATGATTTTGGTGTGGTTGTGTTCTCTGAGCTGGATGGTTTGGTTGCGAAGCTTTCATTGCTCTACTGAGCAACAACAGATGTTGCTCAGTAGAGCAATGAAAGCTTCGCAACCAAACCATCCAGCTCAGAGAACACAACCACACCAAAAGTACAGGTCTTACATGGCTGTGTGACTGACTAGATTCCCAGGCAGCGTGTAAGTCGTTTACTGGTGCATAAGTATCAGGTTGGTAACTGAGTGTAGTAGTCTAACTATCAGATTTCAGTTTAACTGGAGACTAGCTAATAACTAGTGTCGTTTGCAATGTGGCCAACATGCCTCTAGGTGGCTCTCCAACACGGTGCACCCTGAACTGTTGTTATCAGATAGTTGGAGGTAATCTGCAGGAAACCCTGGCTAACCTAGGTTTCGTGTTTGTTGACACTCACCAGTCAGTGAGCTAGGCGTATCTGCCATTTTGAAGGAATTCATATGCCACCTGAGATCCAAACCCGTGTCATCCAGTGCTGTATTCAAATACATTACTACTGAGCCATTCGGACACGTGACTGGCCTCTTGTGGGAATGCATTAGATACTTCGATTGAACACTAACGAATGCCATCAGATTGTAGATAGCCCTAGCTGACTGCTGAGTGCTAACCAGCATGAAACCTATGTCTAAAACTTTCTGTCGATTTCAGTTTGCTGATATCAGGTTTAATTAGTTTATTATGAACTTTATCTACTGCTCTAAGTTCACGTAATAACTTCAATAATTTTTACAGACGAGTTTACGGTGGGAGTGATTGATGTGAATATATAAATTTTTTTATAGTACCACTCTTAGAGATGATGTATATGAATTATATGAGGTATAAAGATCACTCCTATATAAATTTGTCTTTAAGAGTAGTATTATGGCGTCTCTTACCGACAAGAGTTTGTCAATAGTATACTAATGACATCTACGAGAGTCTTGAATTCATCGTTCCCATTACTGGTGATCTTTTATGCGGCTATCGTGGTTACTTTCTCCAAACTCACCAATGTACATAGGTTGTGTCTTGTATATGGACACTTTTACCGTGTATAGCTGAGATTCTTGAACAGCAAATGCTCACAATCCGATATTTTTTGCTTTTGTAGTTGTTCGCGATTTCACTCTTAGACGTTTTGTTTCTATTCGCTGTATTTCGAGAGGAATATTGAGCTCTACGCTTGAGAGTTTTAGGTAGTTGTGGTGTTATTGTTATAAGTTGGAGTGGCTTCACGCATCCAACTTTCATCATCAGTTACAGAACCACTGGAGAAGCTGGGAGTGCTGGACAGCTGTTTTTTTTTGCTAGTTTGAGTCTATTCAGCAGTACGCACCCACCCCATTGGGGTTCGAACGCAGGACCTTCTGGTTACGAGGCGAGATCGTAGAACATTAAGCCACTGGGACCCGTTCCAGTCGCCAGTCCATGAATTCCAACTCCTGCCAATTCGTGACATATATTTAGCTCAACTGCCAGCTGACGTCACGGGCGAGTAACCTTTCTTTTGCATGATTTGGTGGACCCCGCTGGTTAATGACTTGGGTCCTAGTGGTTTAATGGTCTACGAGCTCGCCTCATAACCAGAAGGCCTTAGGTTCGAAGCCCAGTGGGTATGTACTTCTGAAGAGTCCCATACTAGGACGAAACCAACATTTGTTAATCCTTGAGTTCATTTTTTTTCATTTCACTATATCTATATATTTTTGTTTGTTAAAACAATTTCTTTCGAACAACTTAAAAATCACCATTGAGTCATATAAGAGGAAAGACGTTCAGCGAAAAGTTACCCTTTTCAGTGGTATCATCATTCTCAAGCTGTACAATCGCATATATACGCATAGTCAATTTTTTTTAACAACAAAAGGAATATTTCCAAAGATGTATCATTCGAATTGCAAATTTTTTTAGATAAAAAATGACGTAATACGAAAAAAAGCATTGATCGGGTAGAAAGTCAAATAAAATTAAATAAGTGCATTGAGTGACGTCATCTAATTGACGGGGTTGAGTAGAATTCAACTAAAATTTGAACGAGAGTCAGACAAACGTATCATCGAATGCTTACTCTCATGTTATTATTATTATTGTTCCCTTGGGTTCCTAGTGGAACATAGCGCTTCAACTACAAATCTCCACTTGCTTCTGTCTTCTGCTGTACTTTTCACCTGCATCCATGTTAATCCATACTGTTTCAACTCCTCTTCACACGATCTCCTCCATATCACCCTTGGACGTCCCACTAGCCACTTCCCTTTCGGCTTCCACTCGAGCACTGGCCTGACGCGCGATGTCACCCAACGGCCTCCTCAGCGAGTGTCCAATCCATCTCCACTTTCTCCTGCATATTTGTTGAGCGATTGGTTCTTGTTTTGTTTGTTCCCATAGTTTCTTGTTGGTGATTCTTTCCGGCCACCTGATCTTCAGTATAGAACGAAGACAATTGTTGATAAAGGTCTGCAACAGGCTGTTGGAAATATTCTTTGTGACCCACCAAGTTTCTGATCCGTATAGAAGAACTGACTGACTTGACGTTTGTATTGAAAATCCGAATCATTTGTTGTTGATGCTGAGTGACGAAGATTTCCAGATTGGTTTCAGGTTGATGAATGTGTTTCTCGCCTTCCCGATTCTCGATTTGGAGGAAAAAGATCCCTCCACCCCCGCCGCCACAGCTCTATGGTGGAACACCTGATCGAATCTAGACACCAAGCTAACCCACAAACCAAATTCAAAGTTGTCTACAGAATACGCTAAAAGGAACTTGCTAAAAGGCTACGAATCAAATTTCTTCAAACCTCAGAAGCAAGAGCAATTCACATGTTAAATCCCAAGCTCTACATACAAAAGAAGTTTGTCCAGTCATTAAATCTACAATGGACGAGATCTGTCTTCACACTGGATACGTAATTTTGTTTAATTGTATTGATTTCTTCCCTCACTCCCTATTGAAATTCTACATCTTATTATTACCGTTGTTAACTTGATTCAGGCTCATTTCTATCTGAATTTTACTCAACCCCGTCAATTATATTATGTCATTCAATTTACCTATTTAATTCTACTTTAGTTTCTACCCGACTAACGCTCCTAACAATACGTAATTTCTTATCTAAAATTTACAATTGTAGTGACACATTTTTGGAAATATTCCTTTCTTTGATTGGACACTAGTAACTAGTGTGACGTGTCTAGTCCTTTCTTTGGTGCAGACTGAATTCTATCAGTCAGGTTTGCAATGTGGCCACTATGCCACTAGGTGGCTCGCCATCACGGTGCACATTGATTTGATTATATTAGATGGTTGGAGGCAATTGGCAGGAAGCCGATATGGACCGTGATGGCGGGCTACCTAGAATGGTGGCCATATTGTGCAAACCTGACTGATAGAATTCAATCTGCACCAAAGAAAGGACTAGACATGTCACACTAGTTACTGACTAGTGCCCAACCAAACTACCCACAACAGTCCTACAGGAGGTAAATCGCCAGCCCGAATAGCTTATTGGTAACGTCTCTGACTCACTGCAGCACTAGTTGTCGCGGGCACGAATCTCAAAAAGGATGTGAGTTCCTTCAAGGTTGTAGATACGCCTTGCTGACTGGTGAGTGCCAACTAGCACGAAACCTAGGTCAAGCAAGGCTTCCTGTGGCCGATTGCCTCCAAATATCTAATTCCTTTCTTTGTTTAAGAAAATTTACTATGTGTATATACGATTGTACAGCTTGAGAATGATGATATCGCTGAAGAGGGTAACTCTTCGCTGAACATCTTTCCTTTTATATATTATTTCTTTTGAGCTCAGTTTTTCTCACAATTCTGAGTTGGATTCATATTTTCTCTTCTCTTATTCAACTAATCTGCTAGAAAGGAAAAGATCTAGAGTCAGTCTCACCGTAATCTACCCAGGTCTAGAGTATTTTTTTTAATTACGACACATTTGAATTACTATTATTATTGTTTCCTTTAATTCCTAGAGGAACATAGGGCTTCAGCCGTGCGTCTCCATTGCTTTCAGTTCTCTGCTAGAGTTTTAACCTGACTCCAAGTCTGCCTACACGTTTTCATCTCCTCTTCACATGACCTCCTCCAAGTCACCGTCGCACTGACGACCAACTCGCCGCTTCCCTTTCGGGTTCCACTCGAGCAATGGCTTGTCTAGTGATGTCACTTGATGGTTTCCTCAGAGTATGGCCAGCCAATCCATCTCCATTTCTTCCTGCCTATTTGTTTCACAATCGGTTCCTGGTTGGTTCGCTCATCGCCAGAGATCTCCGTTGCTGATCTTTTCTGACCGGCCATCTGATCTGGAGTATTAAGCGAAGACAACTGTTAATGAAGGTCTGTAGTTTGTTTGAAGTGCTCTTTATGACGCGCAGTGCAAGTCTCTGATCCATAAAGTGTAGCACTGACTTCACATAGGAGTTCAAAATCCGTATCTTATTTTTGATGCTGAGTGCTGTTGACCTCCACACAAACTTGAGAGTAATGAAGGCTTGTCTTGCTTTCTCGATCCTCGCTTTGATATCCTCACCAGTTCCGTTCGCCTGTAGTTGAAACGTTGCTTCCCAGTTCGGTAGGTGAAGGAGGTTGTTTCTTTCAGGTTCCTTCCGTTTATGCTGATTGCTGTCTGTTGTTGTTGTTGCTGTTGGTGGTGTTGCCCAGGAATCTTCATCACCTCTGTTTTCTCTATGTTCACCTGAAGTCCTAACTTCTCTGGATCCTTCTTCTGCCAACTTGTTGCTTTTCGCTTGCATATCTTCTAGTTTGTGGAAAATCAGACATACATCATCGGCGAAGTCCAGATCTTCCAAGTTTTTTGTGTGAGTCCATTTTATGCCTGTTTCCTCTCTGCCCTCCGCTGTCTGTCTGTCGCATTATCCAATCTACTGCAATCAGGAAAATCATTGGTGATAGTAGGCAGCCAACCAGCCTTGTCTTACTCCTGTCCTCACTTCGAAGGATTCCGTAAGTTTCCCGTTGTGGATTACTTGTCATGCAGCAGCATTGTCGTACAGCTGTTGGATGAGTGTTGTGTTTGAATAGTGTTTCAAAATTATCACTTCAAGAAGATCCTAGACTGATTCCATTATGGATAAGATTTTATTTAGATAAATCACACAGTGTTATACAGCAATATTAACTGATGTATGTAAATTAAAAAAAACTGTCGGTTCGTCAAATATTTAAAATCTACGCTTATATATTTTTTTGGGAGGGAAAGAAGTACACTTATTTCCACTTACCTTCATTTTTATCCACTATGGAACCGTCAACTTCTGAAGACTGTTCACTTTTACCATTTATCTGCTCACTTAACTCCTCCTCCTCCTCTCCTTCCCCTTCTCCTTCTTCTTCGTCATCTTCATCATCATCTTCTACCTCTTCTGCATCATCATCATCGCTGCCATTGTTTTTGTCTTCGTCGTCATCATCACCATCATCGGCGGCGTCATCTTCGTCCTCGACGTCCTCATCGTCGTCTTCGTCTTCATAACCATAAAAATATTCAACCTGACGACTCATATCATTCCATGAGGCATTTTTTCTCATAGTATGACTAAATTTCATTTCAGGTGATACAGTTTGCTGAATAACTGAATAACTCGACGGAAAGTTGTATTTAGCGCTACTGTTCAAATTACAATTGCACAGATAAACTTCATTAGATTGCTTAAACAACTGTAAATTATCAAATGTTATAGTGCTTCCTGTTATGTGATTACGACGTGTCAGTGGAGATATACTACTGATATGATTGTCCTTAACATTATCAGTAGTATCAGTAATGGTAGTAGTAGTATTTTGAATAAAATCTTGATCAAAATGCCCACTAGTCATTTGATGAGAATAATTCATTCTTTCGCGTACAATTGATTGTTGGAATGGTTTAGTTTTATTTGACAATCGAATATTACTCGCTAACTGACTATCATTACTTGGCGGAGTATTAGTAGTAGTGGTAGTATCGCTTTCATTCTGTGAAATACAACACGATGATTCATCATCATTGGGTGGTGAATTCTCGCTGTGTTTAGTCCATTGTCTATCACTGGAAGATCCTATTGTCCATATTGTTTTTGACGGGGATAAGGGTGTTTTGTTACTGAAGAGTTTTGTGCGATATTTTATAACATTATTCATTGGTACGACTGTCGAGGTGGAAGTGGTAGTATTAGTGAGAGGAGGAAGAGTTGCTGTTGCTGTTGTTGTTGTGGTAGGGATGGACGATGTCATTGTCATTCCAGCTGGCTTAGCTGATTTTGTTAGCAGTTGTTTCGGAGTATTTCGATGATCGTGATTGCTGTCCAAGTCTAAGATTTCACCACTGGTTGTCTGACTTGATTTATACGAATCGAAGAGTTTATGCGAACTTATTAGCTGGGCGTGTTTTGTTGTTCTGTATTGTTGACCATTGGACAGTAATAACTGATATAAGGGTGTATTGGATTTAGTTTGTTCTTTCAGCTGAAAAAAAGAAATAGAGAAATGAAAGAAAGAGGGAAGAGGTGTTTTTCAGCGAGATAGACAAATGGAGGAAGACGTAACAAAAATGACTAGAAATCGAGCGTTGGTCAAGTCAGTAACAGTGGTAATGAGGTGTAGAAATTCTGTCGGGGGAAGGGGTAGAGAACAGGAAGGTTGAAAATGCGAAATATTACAATTGAGAAGACAAAATAATATTAATGAAGAGACAGAAGAGAAAAGGATTAGGTAGAATTTACCTGTCGGGTATTAAGAGAGATTACGTCCATTGCAAGTGTAGTGAATGCACGAACTTCTTCTGTATGCAGAGTTCAGGACTTAGCCATTTCTTCTGCAGTTTGAAGAAGCCTGATTCGTACACTTTTAGGAAGACTGCTTCGTATTCAGTAGACGACGTTTAAGTTTATTTCGGGTGTATCTTGGTGTCCTGAATCTATCGGATGTCTTAAGATAGAGCTGTGGGGGCATCGTTTTTCTCCTTTATCTTAGAACATCTGATAGATTCCGGACACCAAGATACACCTGAAACAAACTTAAAAGTCGTCTACAGAACACGAAGCAGTCTTCCTAAAAGTGTATGAATCAGACTTCTTCAAACTGCAGAAACAATGGCAATTCACTTGCTAAATCCTGAACTCCGCATACAGAAGAAGTTCGTTCAATCACTACACTTGCAATGGACGTAATCTATCTTAATACATGACAGGTAAATTCTACCTAATCTTTTTTTTCTTCTGTCTTTTCGTTAACATTATTTTGTCTTTTCAGTTGTAATATTTTGCATTTTCAAACTTCCTGTTCTGTATCCCCACCCGATATAATTTCTACACTTCATTACCACTGTTACTGACTTGACCAACGCTCAATTTCTAGCCATTCATTTATGTTACGTCATCCAACTTATCTGCTCAATTTCAGTTCTAATTTAAATGGCATTATTCTCTACCCCACCTCTACTTAGTCTCTACCTGTAATTGCCTCTGCTGCTATCCTGACCTTAGTTGAAACATTTTGGTCAATTATATTACGTCATCAGAACTGACGAGGATATCAAAGCAAAAATCGGAAAAGCAAGACAAGCTTTCACTACTCTCAAGTCTGTGTGGAGGTCAACAACACTCAGCACTCAGCATGAAAAATAAGATCCGGATTTTCAACTCCAATGTGAAGTCAGTCAGTGCTACTATACGGATCAGAAACTTGGCCAGCGCGTCATGAAGTTGTCTTCGCTCAATACTCAAGATCAGATGGCCGGCCAGAAAAGATCAGCAACGGAGATCTCTGGCGATGAGCGAACCAACTCGGCAGGAACCGATTGTGAAACAAATAGGCAGGAAGAAATGGAGATGGATTGGCTGGCCATACTCTGAGGAAACCATCAAGTGACATTGCTAGACAAGCCATTGCTCGAGTGGAACCCGAAAGGGAAGCATCGTGTGGGTCGTCCAAGGGTGACTTGGAGGAGGTCATGTGAAGAGGAGATGAAAGCAAGAGGGCAGACTTGGAGCCAGGTGAAGACTCTAGCAGAGAACCGAACGCAATGGAGACGCACGACTGAAGCCCTATGTTCCTCTAGGAATTAAAGGAAACAATAAAAATAATACGTCATCTAACTTACTAACTTAATCTTACTTTAGTTGCTGTCTAATTAACCTTGTTTCTATATTAGATCATTCGTGTATTACGTGATTAAATTGAGAAGGAGTCAGAACTGGATCAATTCAATTAACCACTAATTTTTATTTGAGTCACTAAAGAATGTGTAACATAAACCTCTGGAAGAACTGGCGCGGAATCACGCTCTTGTCGACATCAGGTAAAATACTAAGTCGCATCATCCTGAGAGAGAATAAAGGATGCAGTGGATGCAGAAGTTCGTTCATCGGAACAAGCTGGATTTAGGAAAGGTAAATCACGTGAGGATCAAATTACAACTCCATACATCATCGTGGAACAAAATAGAATGACGAAGAAACAACCAATTGTAAATCTGAAACTCCATAGAGGAAGGTACAATTGATGAGGTCCTCCGAAACCGTCTGTCGAGAGTATTTCGAAGAATGTTGTTCTCTGCTGCATCTCTACACCTCACTCTACCTTCTCCGAACATGCTCTTAGTCACCAAAACGACAAAGATAAGATTTAGATAAAGTAATAAGAAGACGTAATTTGTCTGAATCGTTGTGTAATGTTGTATTTGCGCAACACATTTCGAACAATCTGATCTGTCACACACGGACTTGTCATAGGAGTACATATATATATGAAATTAATAAAGAGTTAAGAGGTGAGAAAATAGACTTAGGTCAAGTTAAAAGGATATATTCAAGGTCAAAATAACAATGATTTTAAATTCCCAGCATTACAAAGCCTTGAAAGAGCTACGGGAAAATTCTAATATAAGTATTACGAAACCCGATACAAGTTCTGGAGTCGTCATTATTATTAAAAGTGACTACAAATCTAAAATGATGTCTATTCTTGATGATAAAAGCAAATTTAGTCGTGATCCCTCCTCAGAAGATATTTAGTTGTTGCAGGGCACAGTGACAGCTAATCTAGTGAAGCTTCATGGCCTAAATGCTATAAGTAAAGATAAATTTGACTCTTTAAAACCATCAGATTGTGAATTCCCGCATATGTATGGCTTGCCCAAAATACATAAACCCAATAATCCTGTAGTCCTATGTTGTCAATGTGCAAATCCCTAAGGCATAAACTTGCTAAATGGTTAGTAGAATTATTGCATCCAGTCAAAACACAGTTCTGTAAGTATGTGTTAAAAGATACATTTGAATTGGTTAATTTTCTTGACGATATTAATATTATGAATAAGAATATGTACTCTTTTGATGTAAACTCGTTATTCACTAATGTGCCTTTGCTCAAAACAGTTGACATTTTGTGTGATTACATTTCCACAAACAATTTTTTCATCCCGTTCCCTATATCTTATTTAAGGGATTTATTACTTCTATGTACTAACATTTGAAGGCGATTGTTTCCGCCAAGTTGATGGTGTTGCTATGGGAAGTCCGTTAGGGCTCTTTTAGCAGATATTTATATGTCGTACATTGAGAGTGTGTCGGAGGATTTAATCGAAAATGTGCCACTTTATAGAAGTTATGTAGATGATATTGTAATCATCAGTGATAAGTCTTGTTCTGCCATCTCAATTTTAAATCGAATGAATGAAGTTCAGAATAGCATATCACTTACATCTGTAGAAGAGGAAGATACTTGTTTATCTTTCCTAGACATATTGCTTAGTCGAAGGCTTGATGGGTGAATAAAAAGATCTATTTATAGAAAACCTCCCTGGGCAGTACATTACCTTAATTACCACAGTTTCTGCACTGTTCGGTACAAAAGAGCCTTAGTAAGGTGCCTCTTCAGTAGAATACAACGACTATGCACTGAAGACACACTTGATGAAGAAGAAAGAAAGTTGACACAAACTCTGGTTGATAACAATTATCCAGACAAGTTCATCAGAAGATATAAAGTAGTGAGAACACTAAGACCCACTCTCCAACTCGTCCCTAAGAAAGACGTGTACATCAAGCTACCCTATATGGAGCATCATAGCAGCTTGATAACTAGACAAACATTGAACGCTGCAGTTAGAAAGACTTTTTATGTAGTTAATATCATAATAATTGAGAGTATGAAGCCCTTATATCCATCTAAGCCCTCAGAACATGCCAATTTGAATGTAGGTGTGGATACACACACATAGGGAGGACTCGCCGATTTCTGAAAGTAAGGGCTTCAGAGCATATTCCTAAATGGCTTCGGAAACAAATGGAATCTTCAGAACCCATTAATGGTGAGAACAGGAGACCTAGCTCTTCTATTGCGAAACATATTATAGAGACAGGACATAAAATTGACGTTAGCAGATCTTTTAAACCTATCTATAAAAGTGTTTGGGCGTATCCTAAAGTTTGTGGAAGCCCTAGCTGGTAATAAGGAAGTTCAAACCACCTTTGGGCGTTCAAAAACAATTCATCATCACACTGAACCTTCCTTGGTAAACTTTGTTTTGATACCAGACAGGGTAGATGTACTACTGTGAAGAAGACAAGACTGAGGAGACTGAAAGGATTGTTTATTTGGTGAAACGTATGGTACATAGCTAAATTTGGAATACCATATTCTAAACCGGCCATTTGCACATCTTCACCACATCCTTGACGAATTGGTCGAATATCGTCTCATTCGATAGCTTCTTGGATTCTGCATCATATTGTAACATTCTTCTCATGGTTCTCTTCTTTGATTGCTCTTTTCGGTGTGCCAAACATGTTGTTACTTCGTTCCTGATATACTACTTATATCGGATTATAAGTAGCACTCACCACACTCGCCCCCTCATTATAAAGTCTCTCCTGTAACCGCCTTGATCGCCGCACAGACGTTTCTTCCTGCTGCTCTTCTGGTACCTCATCTTGACATTCTTCTCTCCATCTTTGTAGCAGACTGGCGTTTACTCTTTTCTCTTTATCTCCTCTCTTTATTGTGTACACTGGACCGCGTCTCGATGTGACCACATATGGTCCCTCCCACTTCGGCAGAAGCTTTCCTGATCCTGGTCCACTTCCGGTAGTATACTTTCGTTCTCTACATTTCACCTGGTCACCTACTTCAAACAGCTTCCAAGCTTTGATTTGTTTCTTGCCATAATTTTCGATGTCTTTCTTGCGCTTCTCTTGTATATTCTGAATAGCTTGTTTCCGCTCATTTGTCCATCTCTTACTGTTCCATTTTTGTTGTTGTGGCCAAGTCTTATGGTGCACCGGTAAGCGTGGTTTCCTCCCATACATCAGCTGGAAAGGCGACTTTTTTGTTGTCCCTTGTACTGTGGCACAATGTGCTAGTAATACCAACGGTAAGTCAGTTTCCCAGTTGCCTCTTTTCGCAGCTAGCCACTCCTTGAGTGTACGATTGTTCCTTTCGGTTAAGCCGTTTGTCTGCGGATGATACGGAGTCGTTCTAATCCTCTTAATACCCAGTGCCTCCAGACGAGTCTTGAACTCCTCACTTTCAAAACAGGGGCCTTGATCTGTCAATATCATTTTCGGTACACCATGATCCGCCACAATATGTCGAATGACGGCCTCGGTTACGGTCTTGGCGCGCTGATCTGGAATCGCTACAGCATTTACCCACCGCGTGGCGTGTTCCGTCATCATTAAAATGTATTGATTTCCACTTGCTGTCTGAGGGAAAGGACCCATTATGTCCACGGACCATAAGTCACCAACCGCCGTTACTGGTATCGTTTGTAGCTGCGGTCGAATGCACCGATCACCCTTCATCAATTGACACTGTGGGCAAGCGAGTACGTAGTTTGCAATATCGCCTCTCATGTTTGGCCAGTATGCACTTTGGCTCACTAGGTCGTATGTTCGTGTAACTCCTGTATGGGCTAGTTGGTGGCATTCTTGAATGACCCCACGACGAAGGCTTTTTGGTATCACTGTAACCCAGCTACCATCACTGTCTTTCCAAGTTAGGACGCCGGCAGCGTTTAGTTTGAGTCTATGTTTTTGCTGCAGTAGCATCTTTAACTCTTTATTCTCTGCTGCCATTTCAATTTCTTTCCCTTCACGTATCATCTGCATGACTGTCTTCCCCGTATCCTTCAGTGGGATGTTATGCTTTACCTTATCACAATAACCGTATGGGTCTCCATCACTAGTGAATAAACCGGCATATTTACTCATCAACGTGGTTAGACGTGGTGCTTCTTGCTGAACAATGGTTGTGGTTTCCACCTCAGCGACTTCATTATTCTTATGTATCGCGAATTGCCCGTGTTTTGTGACCCCTTTTCTATTCTTCATATCGATTACAGCTCCTACTTCTCTGAGAAAGTCTGCTCCCAAAATCGTTCGTCTTATATCAGAAGTTACAATAAACGGATATCGTATTTTTCCTGCTCCAATCTCTACAACGCAGTCTGAAACGCCAAGAATGTGCAACGGATGTCCTCCTACCGTCTGAACTGCTAATGTGCACGGCCTTATTTCCTTACACTGTTCTCTACCTATCAACGAAACTGCCGCCCCTGTGTCGATCAAACAAACTATTTCTTTTTCGTTCACTCGTAATCTCCCGTACACTGAACCTCTTTCGACCAACCCGACCACCTCTAAACGCGAGCGAGAAAAAGAAGGAAGACTGTATCGTTTAAGGTTTTTCTGCCTTCTTTTCGGGCAGTTTCTCTGCCAGTGACCGGTTCCTCCGCAAGCAAAGCACCTGTTGTTTGTTTTTTTCTGCATAGCTGCCACCTGTTGTTTCAACTCTTCAATCTGGTCTTCAATCTTCTTGGAATCTTGGCCCTCCGACATCACTGGAACAACATGCGAGGTCATTATCTGCCTTGTCACCTTGGCCATTTCATAGACATCCATTGGCTGAGCTGCGTCAACTAGCTGCAACTGATGAGCGATATCTGTCGGGACGCATTCGAGGAACTGAGATGCCAGCAACTGCTCCCGTGAATCTTCGTCTAGGGTGGGTAACGCGCGTCGCAGGTGATTCGTCAGCGTTACTGCGAGAACCAACGGATCCCCATCCTGGCCAAGTCTCAGCGTCCGAAACTTCTGCAGCGCCTCTTGTCTGTCCGCAGGGCTGTCGAACTCGCACACGAGCCTCTCGACGACCTTGTCCCACGCCGCCTCACCTTCCAGCTCCCGAGCGTTGTCGTACGCAGCCTTCGCGCGGCCCCTCAGCAGCGTTCCCAAGACCACCAGCTTCGCCTTCTGCTCCTGCACTCCAACCAGCTCCGCGACAGCTTCGAAGTCCCTGAGGAACGTCCGCACATCTCCATCCTCGAACACCTGCGGCCACGGCACCTTCATCTCCGACAGAGGCAGCGACACCAAATGTGAAGAAGACAAGACTGAGGAGACTGAAAGGATTGTTTATTTGGTGAAACGTATGGTACATAGCTAAATTTGGAATACCATATTCTAAACCGGCCATTTGCACATCTTCACCACATCCTTGACGAATTGGTCGAATATCGTCTCATTCGATAGCTTCTTGGATTCTGCATCATATTGTAACATTCTTCTCATGGTTCTCTTCTTTGATTGCTCTTTTCGGTGTGCCAAACATGTTGTTACTTCGTTCCTGATATACTACTTATATCGGATTATAAGTAGCACTCACCACACTACTATCTCTGTTATTTGGTTTAGTGATCTTCATTGTTGTCTTGACCTTCAATATGTCACTTTAACCTGACCTAAGTAGTCTATTTTCTCACCTCTTAACTCTTTATTAATTTCATATATATATGTACTCCTATGACAAGTCCGTGTGTGACAGGTCAGATTGTTCGAAATGTGTTGCGCAAATACAACATAACACGATTCAGACAAATAACGTCTTCTTATTGCTTTATCTAAATTCATAAAGGGATTTAATTGTTTTAAAGATAAGATTCCTCTGTTGGAAGTTTCAATATGCATTTACAACTTCACCTGCTCCCGTGGAGCCATGTAAATAGGCTGTGCCAGCTGGACATTCATTTTCTAGACGTGCCCATGAACGTAGAACAGTCAACAGTTCCATTCTGGAGCATATCACTACTTCTGGTCACAGATCAGCATCAGCAGAGACAGAGACTTCTTCCAAAGTCATATATAATAAAGTACAACCAAGTCGTTTGAAAGGATTTCGCCTACATCTTCCTCATGTAGCTAAGGCTTTAGCCAGTCTTAAGGAGAAACCTGAACTTTTGTCTTCAAAAACATTTTTCGATTCCTCCTAACTATTCAGGTAGGTAGTTAACCTGGGGTTCTAGGGGGAAACTGTGACCAGTAGGGTTCAGCAGGTTGAAGGTGAAGCAGTAACTCATCGAAAAAGACATTTTGAAGTGGTAGAGCTATGTCATGAATTGGCAGAAGTCAGAATTCATGGGCTAGCCATTGGATCGGGTGCCAGTGGCTTAATGGTCTACGAGCTCGCCTTTTAACCAGGGCGGTGGGTGCGTACTGCCGAAGAGTCCCAAACTAGGACGGAGGAATCAGCTGTCCAGTACTCCAATTCTGGTTTTCCAATGGTTCTCTAACTGATGTCAGCTCATGATGAAATCCCCAAACCACTTTGATTTACTTGCTTACTAACAGGCGATAACCTTTGGTGAATGTTATCAATTACAATTGCATACAGAACCTGTCTAAAGGAGTGTACAGCTTTGAAGTGGAGTTACTCTAAACGCAGGGACATCTCTTTCCTAATTCATGTGGTATTCTAAATTACATGAAAATGGTAATTATTTTTACAAAATATGGGAATCTTACCAGAAGATTATTTTCATGTTTAGCTCGTTTCGGTGCACTGCCTTTAAAATGTTTACGTTTTTGTTGTTGCAATCGTCCTTGTTTCTGTCGACAATCAGTATCCAATATGGAGAATATATTTGTCTCAGATGTCTGTTGTTGTTGTTGTTGTTCGAGGCTGTATCGTGGTTGATAAAATGATTTTGTACAATGTTTATCATTAAAATATTGATAATCTAACAATCCACTCGGTAGAGTATTTTGTTTTAATGAAGTATATGAGATATACGGTGTATGGTATGAATTGGTATTGTTATTATAATTAGTAGTAGTAGTATTAGTATTATCTTTAATACGTCTAACTGAAAAACTTCGCCTGAGATTATCTAAAATGAAGAGAGAATAAGATTAAGAACAAATAAACCGGAGAGAATTTTAAAAAAATCACTTGAAATTAAATAGTCATGGCAATTTTTGTTGTTTACAGGACTTCATCGTGAACTGACATCGGTTAGAGAACCATTTAGAAACCTGGGGGTATAATGGACAGCCGTTTCGTCAGCCTAGTTTGGAACTTTTCATCAGTCAGCTCATTATGAAATCCTGTAACCAGTCAAATCCATGCAGAAGCAACATCTGATGCTCACTAGCAGCGACTGACCCTATTCAAGTAGGCAGTTGCCTGGATTCTAGTGAGAAGTCGTGACCAGTAGAGTGCAGCAGGTCGGGTGTGAGGACAAATACTCGCCGAAGACATTGGCGAGTGGTCGCGCTATGTCGTGAATCGGCAGAAGTTAGAATTCATGGGCTGGCCTCTGGACCGGGTCCCAGTTGCTTAATGGTCTACGAACTAGCTCGCCTTGTAACCAAAAGGTCCTGGGTTCGAACCCCGGTCGGTGCGTCCTGCTGAAGAGTCTCAGACTATGACGAAACAGCTGTCCAGTACTCCCAGGCTTTCCAATGGTTCTCTAACCGATGTCAGCTCATGATGAAATCCTGTAACCAATCAAATCCCTACAAGCCAACACTTGAATATCGATGAGATGCTCACTAGCGACTTACCCTATTCGGGTAGGTAGTTACCTGGGGTTCTAGTGAGAAGTCGTGACCAGTAGGTTACAGCAGGTCGGGTATGAGAATAAATACTCGTCAGCGATGATACTGGTTCGTGCAAGTCGCGCTATTTCGTCAGTGAATTGGCAGAAGTTGGAATTCATGAGCTGGCTATTAAGGAGTCGAGCCTCAGTGGCTTAGTGGTCTACAAGCCAGCTCGCCTTGTTAACGAGAAGGCCATGGGTTCGAACCCTGTCGGTCGGTGCATACTGATGAAGAGTCGCAAACTAGGCTGTCCAGTACTTGAGTGCTGGTTTCCCAATGGTTCTCTAATTGATGTCAGCTTATGATGAAATCCTGTGACCAATCAAATCAAATCAACTGTGCAAACCAACACTTGAATTTTTGTTGTTGTGTTGTGTTGCAGTCGGTAATAACTCACTGAAGGTGTGAAGTAAAAATAGGGGTAGGCAGCACAATTCGGACCGGTGGTCCGCAGATTATTCATATTGGAGAATGATGCTCAGGAAAGCTTCGTGTGCTCTTGGAAGTGTGTGGGCGGTTGTTACTTCCCGGCTTCCCACATCGTGGAGGTTGATTGGTTCTTCGAGAACCTGAAACAGAGAGAGGGTTAGTGTTGCGTGACCGCAGAGCCCAGAGGACAACTGCTTGAAGCTGGTTCCACACGGTCTATATGAACTGGTTTCTGGGATTGGTTCCGTATTAGTAAACTTATCGCCAGTTGCAGACCACCGTAGGTAGGGTAAGTCGGGATGTACAATTTTTGGAGTCGACCTTTTCTCACCCCCTCTTTCCCTCCATAGTAGGGAGACAGCATAGCTGGCATGCTGGTCATCTGAGGGAAACACCTCACTGCTGTTACACCCCTGTTCCTCAGCAGTACGACTTCGCCCTCAGACCCCCAGTATAGCGTTAGGAAGATTCTTACACAATGCCGGTAACTTCTTTTAGTCTAATCGCTATCCTAACAACCTTCCTGGCATGGTATGACCTCCGGGAACATAGGTTTCAGCTAGTGCAGCTTGTTGGGTCATCACGATGTGCAAGCCCAACCACCATGTCAAGGTAGCAGCTATCGGTCGGGATTGACATGGCACCAGTCAATGAAATTTACGACAGTTAGTTTAAGCCACGTAGGAAGGTGTAGACTTCCTGACAGGTTGGGGTCCTCGGGACGGTAAAAACCAATGGTTGGAAACAATTGGTGATATAGCTCAAAATCGTTCTCAATGGCTGGTGCAGATGCATCCAGTCCTTGTGACTTACGATTTCCAATGAAACTGTTTTGTTCTTCGTTATTACTACTCCTTTGTCTCACACCTCTGTTTACTGTCTTTATTATGCATTTCTTCTACTTTTTTCTCTTGCTTTGTGTGCTATATTGGGGGGGGGGGGGAGTGTGGCGATTTGAACTGCTGCACATCGATGCAAAGTTCTATGTCGAAAACAGACAGATAGACGTATTGGAGACCAGATTATCCAGTGACTACTAATTATGTATTGATATTTTTGTCGGTGACTCAGCTGCTAACAATTTTTTCATTTAACATTGGATCACGGCCCATTACATCAGTAGTAGTAGTAGTCTACCAAATGGAAAACTGTCTCAGTTAGTCTCACTATCGATTAATAACCTTTCGGCTGGTGTCGCCTGATACCTAGCTAGCAGTGAACTTGAATGGTGTACAGTAAAAGTATTATTATTATTGTTAACCTCTTGGGTTCCGAGTAGAACATAGGGCTTTACTAGCATATCGACATTTTCCTGTTGTCTCTGCAGTTTTCATTATCTCACTCCAAGATTTTCCAAAAGCTTTCGTTCCCTCCAGCTCATCCAATCTCCCCCCATAATGTCACCTTCCCATCCATTCCCAACTCGTCGTTTTCCATTCGAATTCGGAGTGGCCAACTTAAAACTTGCGCCACCGAAAACAACCTCCATCAATATAGTTAGTATGTAATTTCGCTTTTTCAGTTTGTTTAAATCTAGTGAAATATCACCTCTAATAGTACCATTTACTCTAGCGAGTCTTTAAAACATGCATAACCTGCTGATTCACAAGTTTCTACCAAACATGAGAAAAAGCATTATCCAGCTTGATGGCAGCTTATCCCAATAACATTAGATGATTGTTCTTGAATGGTGTTCTTGGTTCATAAAATATACTCCTGGACCTTTTATAAATGGCATTCAACAAAATGTTGTGTGAGTACTGGACAGATGTTTCGTCAGACTAGTTTGGGACTCTTCATCAGTACGCACCCACCGACAGGGTTCGAACCCAGGACCTTCCAGTTACAAGGCAGTAACTCATCGAAGAAGACACTGTGAAGTGGTCGTGCTATGTCTTGAATTGGTAGAAGTTATAATTCATGGACTGGCCATTGGATTGGGTCCCAGTAGCTTAATGATCTACAGGCCGCTTTGTAACCAGAGGGTCCTGAGTTCGAACCCTGTCGGTGGGTGCGTACTGATGAAGAGTAGTCCCAAACTGGTCTGACGAAACAGCTGTTCAGTACTCCCAAGTGGTTTTCCAACGGTTCTCTAAATGATGTCAGCTCGTGATGAAATCCTCCAACAAAATCCCTACAAGAAAAGAATAGATGTCATAATGGATTGGTTCGCGCTTCAGATCAGACAGAACCGCGTCATACGATCTGCTGTCAGTTAATCTTCTATTTGAAAATCCTAGACGAAGGGGAAATATCATGCAATAAACTGCGCTGAAAATTCTTTACATTATATAAATATTGTTCAGAATAAAGCTATTAATATTGTTATTATTATTGTTGAAGGCCTGTTTGATGTGTAATGTCATTCAACGGTCTCCTTATTTCACGTTTAATCCATCTCTATTTCCTCATGTGTATTTGTTGATCAGTAAGTTCTTGACTGGTTCACCGCCTTCCAGAGTTCCATCTTGCTTCTTATCCTTTCTGCAAAGGTGGTCATCTGTTCTTCTCTATGGAGCCAGTGAAGATGGGCGCTGATGAAAGCCTTCAGTAGCCTGTTGGAAATACTTCAGGTGACTCGCACGCCAAGTATCTGAAGCATTCTAGAAGCATTGACTAATTTGACCTTAGTATTGAGAATCCGAATAGTGTTGTTTATGAAGGCCCGACCGATAGCTGCTACCTTGACGTGGTGGTCGGGCTTGCACATTGCAATGACCCAACAAGCTACACTGGCTGGAACCTATGTTCCTGCAGGTCCTACCATGCCACGAAGGTTGTTAGGATAGCGACTGGACTAAAAGCAGTTACCGGCATAGTGTAAGGAATTTTACTTTACACTATGCTGGGGGTCTGAGGGCGAAGTCGTACTTCTGGGGAACAGGGGCGTAACAGCAGTGAGGTGTTTCCGTCAGATGACCAGCATGTCAGCTATACTGTCTCTCCACTCTGGAGGGAGAGACGGGGTTCGAAAAGGTCGACTCCAAAAATTGTCCAAGAGTGACATGGAGGAGATCGTGTGAAGAGGAGTTGAAACAGTATGGATTAACATGGATGCAGGTGAAAAGCACAGCAGAAGACAGAAGCAAGTGGAGACATGCAGTTGAAGCCCTATGTTCCACTAGGAACCCAAGGGAACAATAATAATAATAAATATCACATGCTGAAAATTCCATACTTGTACCAAAATGCTGTGTGGAATCAAGCTATAATTTAAGAAAAATTGACAAACTAACTTGGTCTGGCACAAATTTTTCCCGAGGGATTTAGATCAATAGAAAAGTCACCAAAGGCTTAAAAACCAACCGAAAAACAGTAGAAAATGTGAAAATACACATCAGTAAAATGAGTACACATATATATTTGACAATTATGTCATTATCACCAACTTACCGAGTTGTAAGTGCTCATCAATATTTGAACCATCAGTATTACATACAAATGCTGATTGTTCTTTCAATGAAAAAGGATCAGAACGACTAACCTTGGATTTATGATACGCTTCATGTATGGAGCGTTGAAGTGTCATAGGTGAATGATATTGTTTTGATAATTTATCTACAGGGATAACTAAAGTATTCGGTAATTGGCCTAAACTACGATTAGTTGGATATTCATGTAAATATGGATTAAATGTTGATTTTAACTTTTGTGTTTCTCTTAAATGCTGCTGTATTGTACTCTGACTCGAGGCTTGATTCCATGCTGGACTTGAATCTAATTTGTGTATATAACCTAAAGGTTTTGTAGCTCGATCGAATATTTCAGCTAGTCCACTTGTTGTTGACTCTATATCATCATGTTTAGGACGTTCAGTATCATTCATTTCTTTTTGTTTCTCTATATCATCATCATCATTATCATCATCATTGAATTCTGTTGTTTGTTTAAATGAGTCTTGTGATTTTGGCGCGCTATTTGAACACAAGTTGCCACAGTTTAGAAAATTACAGTCTGATGAAGTTTTTAAAGGCTTAATCTCTTCTTCTTGTTTTAATGCATCATTTAAATTTAATGAATCGGTTGTCGTCAGCGTTGTTGTAGTTGACACAGGAGTAGTAAAAGTTGTGTTAACTGAAACATTGTAAGTTGACTCTTTATACTGAACTTTTTTATTTAAATCATCAGCATAACTTATAGTTTCACATTTGCAATTATTTATTTGTAAAGATTTCAAATTGGACAATGATCCAGAAGACTCTAAAGCTGTAATCAATGAAGTTCCAGACTCAAATAGTATACTATTGCATACACTACCGAAATTTGGATGTTTCTGTTTCTTCGATCGATTGACCAATGTCATTCCAGCTGAAATAATTCCACAGATAGCACAGAATCCTAATAAACCAGCAATAATTGGCGTGTGATGATGAAATTCATCGTCGTCTTCAGATGATGCAGATATACTGTCTAATCTTTCAGTGGTTATCATTTCTTCAATTATTTCTGTAGGCATTTCTGTAAAAGAAAATTTAAGAGTAATTGTTTATAAACTAAGTTCAGGCAAGTATGCTCATGAAAATTTTGGCGTAAATACACCCATGTGACACAACATTCAACGAGATAAACGAAGTTAAACTTTGATGATATTAGATGGTTGGAGGCAATTGGCTGGAAGCCTTGCTTGACGTAGGTTTCGTGCTAGTTAGCTCTCGTCAGGAAGGCGTATCTACAACCTTGAAGGAACTCACATCTTTTTTGAGATTCGTACCCGCGACACCCAGTGCTGCCCTGCAGTCAGAGACGTTACCACTGAGCTATTCGGGCTGGCGATTTACCTCCTTTGATTGGACACTAGTCAGTAACTAGTGTGACGTGTCTAGTCCTTTCTTTGGTGCACATCGAATTCTATCAGTTAATTTGAATAAAGCAAGAACAACAGTGGAGTTTGCAGAATAAAATGGTGCCATCATTTATTTCGTCGGCTTCTCACCAGCTGCTTACAGGCCAAAGTCATTATTAAGTATATTTACAGAAATAATTTATTGCTTTCTTGCTTTATTCAAATTCATTAAGGGGAATAAATGTATGAAATTTCTATCAGTTAAGTTAAACTTTAAGCACTAGTGGTAACTACCAATCAGCGAATGACCTTGGATGCACCAATCACATGAAAAAGGCGGTTTTTACGTATAAAGTAGACATATTTACGAAAATAAGGTATAAAAGGGTATAAAAATGTTACACAGGATACCTTTCTCTGAAGCGTGACAAAAATGCCCCCTTCCCCATCACAGTTTCCTATAGAAGTATCAATAGAGAAGTTAAATCACATTCTATACAAGTATTAATCTATGTCGCTTATGAGATCCGTTAATAACTCTAATCCTACTGTACAGTCTGCTTCAAAATCTTTCGATAGAACTGGTGTAGGTGCCTGTAATAGGTTCCACAAAATCTCCACAATGATTGACTCTATGGTGAATATGTATCCTAGAGATGATAGTGAATTATATCCTTTCCATCTATCTGTGTGCATTATAGATCCTGGTTCCACCAAATCCAGTGACAGCGAGTATTAAAGTAGTTGACTTTCTGTCTGATATTCTTTTGATGAATCTTTTCCGTAAAGGGGTGTCATATAATCCAATCATCCAAAGGTTATTCACCTTTTCATGACCATTGTTGTATTTCTTCTGTATTAAGACTGTTTCATCTACATCCCAATAGAGAAGTAACTGTTTCCATCTTCCAAGATGCGATATCTCCGCAGTGCTGGTACCACTGAATGGCTGAAACGAGACTATTTTCCATTTTAGCAGCTGTAGTTCTCATAGAGTTTTCCAAAACTCAGTAATTACAAATAAATATAAAATCTGGGTTAATGATAAATGGGATCTAGCAAAAAACGTTTCCACGAAATAGTAAAATCATCAGGCTACCTTCGGTCACACTAATTCATCACAAACAAATTCCACAAGGCTGAATATGTCCATCAACCAATCTACTGAAGCTTTTTATACTCATGATACCTCCATAGGAATAAATTTTTTCCTTTCCAATCAATCCCACATTTAAGCAGTACTGAGAAAGTTGGTCTGCACAAACTTTCAGATGTAAGTCCTTGCAGAGAAGGTCTTTCATTGGAATTAAGCGGAATAAAAGCTTAGATTCACGGGAAGAAAGCTATTGGTCCATTCAAGGTCGTTGGTTTGCTCGCATTCCATTGGTAGTTAATGGCGCTTAAAGTTTAACTTCTCTGGTAGTCGAAAATGGCTTCTTACTTATCCTAATTTCTCTGCATATAATTTCTGTAATGACAGAAATTATAGTGACTATATTACCACCCAGAATTCAGACATGAATTTAAAGGATAATTATTGATACCGTTACATCGTGAATTAGTGAAATTCAGTGTAAAAGACGTATATTCAGCTTTGTAGAAACTACCAAAAGCCTGAATGTTAAGGGAAACAAAATAATGTCACTGGGTGTAGCATCATTATTCACCAATGTCCCATTGCTCGAAAGAGTCACCTACTTCTGTGACCAACTGATAGAACGAAAGATAGATGTAGGAATCCAATCGGATAAAGTCAAGGAATTATTATTATTGAAATGCACTATGAATGTTCAGTTTATATTCAACAATGATTTTTATAGACAAGTTGATGGTGTTGCCATGGGCTCACGTCTGGGCCCTGTTCTAGCAAAGCTTTAAAATGGTCCACTCAAAGACACGATTAATTCGCTTGACTATTATTGTCGATACGTAGATGATACCTTTATCGTTTGTGATAGAAATCCTAATAAACAAAAACTTCTGAATGCTGTTAATAGTGTCCATCCAGCTATTCACTTTGCATGTGAGGAAGAAGACAATAAGAGTATACCTTTCCTAGACGTCCTCCTTACCATGAAGACAGACGGATATCTACAAAGGAAATTATTTAGAAAGAAAACTTGGACAGGTCAATACATCCATTTTCACAGCTTTACAACGATTCAATACAAAAGAAACTTAGTTAAGTGTCATAGCTATAGAATAAAACGCATATGCTCAGAGGAATGCATTAAGGAAGAAATGTGTAAACTGAAACCTTCACTGCAAGAACTTCCTAAACAGTATATGTCAACATCTAGAGATAGGGTAAAGGTGGATACCGTAGACAAGAAACCTTTGTTTCTTAAGTTAAGTTACAAAGGGGAAATTGCAGCTGACATTCTAAAATGTTGACTTAACAGAGCAGTAGAGAGAACATTTCGTGCAGCTAAACTGGTACTCAACTTGTCAACTAAACCAGTACTCACACAGCGAGTCAAGGATAAGTTAACAAAGATGGCCTGATCAATGTGTATCTATGAATTCAACTGCTCATGTGGAGCTAATTACATTGGCCGTACTCAGAGGGCTTTGTCCATGCGCGCGCGTGAACATGTACCTGTATAGTTGAGTAAAAGGGTAACCAAATACGTAAATAGTGCAGTCTTAGCCCACTTGGTATATACTGGACACTCGATAAAACTTAACCAGGCCTTCTCATTTATTTACCGCGTTCCTGGTAATCTATCTAGAGGAGCTCGACTACGTCTTCTATCAGTAGCTGAAGCGGTTGCAATCAATACCAGAAGACCAACTCTTTGTATACAGAAGAAGTATGTTCAACCTCTATGTTTACCTTGGCCTACAATAAAGCCAACAAATCATCCATAAAAACATTAGCACTTTAAATTCCTATCACAATTTTCTTTTCTTCTTCTATTCCTCTGTTTCATTGACAAACGTTCATTTTAGACTTTTATGATTTCATGACCTTTCTTATGATTTTATTACCTTAGGTTTAAGTAGCACTTTTCTAACTTGTTATCGTATTTACAAAATCCTGTTCATTCCACTTCATTATATTCATTATTATTATTATTTGACAATCATTCACCAATAGTACTTATAATTTCACACCATATCATCGTTATTATTTTACAGTCATTCTTATTGTCGTTATTTTCAACCTTGAACTTATGTCTAGTCCGTCCCATTCGTTGTTTTATTTTCATATTGTCTCACACACCCTGATTACACTCACTCTCGAAACCTGTACTTTTCTGTTGATCATTTTTATTTGTATATATACACAGCATTAAATTATTTCATCTCATGTTCTCATTGACCATGCATATTAAAAACTATCTGACTATTGTTACATCCCATGTTATACTTGTTCCACAATACACATTTCTGATGTGATTCTAATTTGCCTTTACTGGCTGGCCATTGTATGCTTAAATTAATGGATTTATAATTTTTCAAAAGAATGGATACTGAACAAAGAGTACTCTTTTCGATAACTTCATCATCAGGCTCTACAGTTATATATACATTATAGTGAATGAATGAATGAATTAGTGTTATGAACAACATTGATAGATTACAGCTCAATAGCATCAACATAAAATAAGCTGAATGTCAAAAAAATTAGGAAAGATAATATTGCAGATTCATGAATTTATAGTCTCTACGGAAGGCCGGCCAGGGCTTCTTTTGAACACAGAGCATTGGTTGTTTGAGGCAAATTGCGATAGCCTCTGCTGTTTAGAGCATGCGGTACTTCGATGATCTTGGCAATTTATTAGGCACCCGGTAGATTATAGAGGCAGGTTTGCGCCAGATGGTCCAACATGGGAATGTTAATGGTTTTCACTACACCTTTACTTAGCCATAGTGGAAGATGTTCTCGAGCACGAAAAATCAAGTTCCTAGAGCAACGGCCAATATAACTCGCTCCACAACAAGCTCAGTTGAATTGTTAGGAACAATTAAAAGTGGCTAGTCTAGGTACTTCATCTTTCAATCGAGGTAGCACCATCGGTCATGTAGAGATTAATACGTGTAGTTTGCCAGCATTAAAAGTTCTTTGAACTGATTTTCTTAATTTCCTCGTAATTATCTCACTTGGTATATCGCCCTTGAATTGCAGTCGTATATAAAGAGGCTTCTTGTTTACGGATAGTAAGTATTCCTTTTCCGCTTTCTTTGTCATGTGTTTCTTGATAAATTTTTCGGGATAGCTATTTTTGATCAAAGTATCATATACAATGCTTGATTTATCTTCAATTACTTCTTCTGAATATATAGCTCTAACTCTGTGGCTGGGGGTCTTCACTAAATTTCTTTTGTACTTGATAGGAACGAAGCTGTGAAAATGTGTGTATATTGTCCTGTCCAAGTACTTTTTCTATGCAAATTTCTTTTTATGCTACCATCTGGTTTTCTTGCAAGTAGGACATCCAGGAAGGCAATTCTGTCTTGGGATTCCTCTTCGCATGTGAATTTCATAGCGGAATGTACTTCATTGAATTCAGTAATTATTGTACTCCTCTTAGAACCATTATCATAAAGAATGAAGGTATCATCCAAATATCGGCAATATAATAAGAGCTTGCTGATAAAGTTGTTCAAAGGTGCATTTTCTAGCTTACTTAGAAAGAAATCAGCCAGAATTGGACCCAATGGGGAGCCC